TTAATCTATTGCACATAACTCTGATTTCCCAGATCTCAAAACCACCAACCCAAGCCGCCATATAAGTATAACCTGATTTCAATTTTGTGCGATGTTTTGAAAAATACAAGCAGGACCTGATGAACCCAAGAAATCCGAACAACTGAGAACAATTGCAAGAATTGCAAAAAAATGTGTTCGGTAAACAGGAAACCTTCCAATTTCCGAGTTGATATTTTGGATCGGTTGATTCTTGGGTCGCGAGTGCATGTTTGTGGTTTGGTGCGACGTTTTGTGAAAACTATTTTCACCCAGGTTTGTTTCCAAAATAAAGGCATTGTCTTGTCTCAAGGTTGCGAGGGGTGGTTCCAAGGCACAACATGCGTCAAAAAGTAAAAGTGTTTGGGACGTTACAAACTAACCTTAAAAGGACCAACATGCATTTTGGCCTCCACACGCCTTTTCGCCGCATGTTTGCTGGTTTCCCCAAATTTTGAATATGTAAGAATATCTAAGGCAAGGTTTCTGGACATGGTTGCAATGGATTTCGTTGAGCCAGCTGCATGGGCAACGTTTGTTTGTCATTTGCTTGGCATGTTCTACTGTGCATGTCATTGGTTCTGCGCACGTCATTGGTTCTGCGTGAAGTCACTGTGCATGGTTTTGTTTGTTGGTTTTGCATGCCTTTTCCTTGTCCTCTGGCCAAGGGTTCCAAATCAAATTTCAAATTTGTGCCACAAATATTCTATGATTTTGCGTTGGTGTCACGAACATTTTGTAGATGTTCATTCAAACATTTATTTTTTGCAGCCGAAATTTTAGAAATTGCCAGCGCCCCTCCAGATGAATCCGTACGCCGTCGTTGGAAGAGGTTTAGCCCATTTGTCACAACACGTTTTGGAAAAAAACGAACAATGTAATGCCTCTTTGTTTGTTGCAACCTTGAATGGCACCGATGTATCATGTTGTCCTGTACATACGTGTTAATCTGGGTCTCAACTTGGCTGTGCCCTAAATGGACGCCGTTTTTGGTTACAGATTTCGACATTCGACCTTCGGCCTTGTATGTGCCGAAATTGTATGTAACATCGTGTGTGTGTGTGTGACAAAATTGTATGTGACAATGTTGTAGGTAACAAAACTGCATTACTGCGTGCGTGTGTGTAACAGTGGTGTGAGGGAAAACGAGGAAGAAAAGGGGGAGAAGGAGGCGGCGGGTTGCTAAACTGAAAAAAAACTGCACACACTCATGTGGCGAAATATGGCACCTTCCGTCTTGCAATTAAAAATGTTTCAGGAACCCTCACCTTCCCTACCCATCGTTGGCAAGAATCGAAGGTTTTCCTTTTCTCCACACAAGATTTCATTCCAAAATCTACCACCGGCAAGCACTTCCAAAATGAAAGGCTCTAGTGCCAACGTACCATGACTTAGGTAGTTGACGATTCTTCATCGTGAATGGCATGTTTGTTCGCATATGGTTGGACATGGGAACATGCAGGCACACCCCTTGGTGCCAACGACTCGTTCCATTCATCGTAAATTTCCATGGTCGTATTGGGGCCGATTTTACCACCACAAAAAAATTACCCAAACATTACCCAAACATTACCCAAAGTAATTACTTGGAGATATTATGCCTTCTTAGGATCCAATGAAATGTTCCAGCGCATCCTATTGGCATTGAGTTCATGGAATACTTTTGGGACACGTCCCGCCTGTTTTTTCTGCATGATGAATTTGGTCAACCTCCTTCGTCGGTGAATTTCGCATTGTTCAATTTTCGTTCCCCAAACGAATGTAGTTTTTTGGAATGTTGCCATAGCTGTTGTGTTTCTGCAGTTTCCAATGATGGGAATATGTTGCAATCATAGACTTGTGAAAGTCGTCTTGGATGAATTGCCATCCCCGGTGCGGGTCGTGGTGTCGCCGATCGGATCGCTACCAACCATAAAAATGCTGAACAATACCTCCATTTTTTGTCCAAGTAAAGTCTGATCCGATCGATTCCAGCACCGGACGCGAATGTTCCAAATTTTGTACCACGCACGTGTCTCCGCAAATGGATGGTGAGTGGCTGGCTCTGCGGAAATTGTAATCATTATTTGTTTTTGATACCACCTAGCGGTTCCATTTGAAACACATATGCCCATTTGTCTCCGAAATCCACCTGAAATGCACAACCTTAGCTAATTTCAATACTGGATGCCACAGGTACGGGCAGCATTAGCACTTGATTTCATGGTGAACAAGAATGTTGGTGAAACTGAATTGTGAAAGAACAATGCTGATATTGAAGCCAAGTTGTAACCATCATCATGACGGTGATAAGGATAATCACGCAATAACAAGGAGGGTTGATGATGTTGATGATGATGCTGATGCTGATGCTGATGATGATGATGATGATGACGACGGTGATGGTGATGATGATGATGATGATGATGGATGGTGATGGTGATGGTGATGATGATGATGATGATGGTGGTGATGATGATGATGATGTTGTTGTTGTTGTTGGAGTTGATGTTGATGTTGATGTTGGTGATGCTGTTGGTGATGCTGTTGGTGATGCTGTTGGTGATGTTGTTGGTGATGTTGTTGGTGATGTTGTTGATGATGGTGATGGCGGTGATGGCGGTGATGATACGACGGTAGCAATCCTTCGTCTGCGTGTGACGGTATGTTTTTTCATCTGATCCACTAGTTTTGAGACTAAAATTGCCCATATGAAACGTTTCATGCCAAAAAAAAACACGGCGAAAGCACGAATAGAATAAAATAAATCAAGGACAACATGACCGCGACCTAGCGCAAACAACCCTGGTTCGTCAGTGCCAAATTTCCTGATAAATAGTGGCGGGGAACTGGGCGAACGGACATGGAATACGCCGGGCGCATTACTTGAGTTGTAAAGAAAGTGGGGAGAGTGAATAAAAAGTTATTGGCAACGCCCTTTTGATCCTCACATCAAAACGCCTACGGTAATGTCCATGTATTGAACATGCGGCTGCAACTGTACTGACATGAAGTTGGTTGACATGTCTCTGAAAGATTCCACTTGACATGCATTTATACTGCATATTTAGTGGTTATACAAAGGAGTGAAATATTGATCACCCCGCCTCAATTGGACTTTCAAATCTTCAACTGAAAATTCACATGTAAATCCACTACGGCTTTCGGCGAAGCCTCCAAAGCAGAAAGCGCAGTGGATTTGTTCCAACTTCCATGTTTCAAAAACTCCATACAAGCTGCCATGTTTCATCCAAGCCAGTATACATCAGTCCATGCGCTTCTCGAATCTGATCTTCCAAAGAATCCATCGCCAACGTGTCATTGCGCAGTTGCGTTTCTTCCCATTCATAGTCCAGTCTGGAGACTCGGGCTCGAAGTAGCTGATTGTTCTCAACCATCATTTGACGAAGTTCTGCAGATAGGTTGCTGCAGCGCAACATGGTGTCATTGGAGAGGGAGGACTCTTCAGATTCCTCATCAGGAGAATCAGCACAAGGTGGGCCATAGCGTATAGATCTCCAATATTCATCATCTGAGCACTCGCACATCTCGCTGTCCAAATAGCGACGGCGCCTTTGTTCCAAGGTGTCAGCATTTCTTTCATCCCATATTCCCCATCTAGGATTGTGTGGCGCCTCATCAGGAGTTGCCGGCACATTTCTAACTGTTTCTGCTTCTTCATCCCGGAAAGGAGCTGGAGTAAATGGATCCAGTGTTAATGGAGGAGTAATTCTCTTGGCCAGAATCAGTTGAGAGCCTAAAGAAGCATATGAAAACTGCCAAGGACAAGTCTACACCTGACTCATTACCATTCCACGCGTTTGGAAACCTCCTAATGCTACGTATCACAAACAGCTCATTGTTGCCAGGAACTGCAACGATGTTGACATCATTGTTGGTGGTTTTCCCAAGCCAAATGCCTTTCGTCCATTGGGGCGCTCCTTTGGCTGACTGCCGAAGAAAGGCTACGACGCATTCACCAAACATAGCTATACGGCCGCTGCAGGTTCTATCAGCACAAAGTTCATAGGCAGTATGACTTTGTTTCACAACATACCTATTATGCAACCATGCTCCATGAAGAAGTGCCCATGAATTCAAAGGGTGCTGACACCCAATTGTACCTTCTGGGGTTCACGGCCACGCTCAAGATGCTGTATCAGTAGGTCGGCCTGTCGGCGTAGCAGCTTCACGGTGACTTCAGCTGCTCCATTTGAAGCATGACTGCCAGGAGCAACGGTTTCAACTACTGTTTTGACTCCCAAGCACCTGCAAGTCTTTCTCACAGCTTCCAGCAAAGCCAAAGCAGATAGCTCCTGATCACATTTGAATGAAATTGTTTGATGATCAAGCCATAGAATAAACCCGCAAAACTCAGTGGAAAGGTGGTTAAGCCATCGTCCACCTTTCTGGGGCGTAGGCACCGTATGCATGGCACCAGTGTGCCTGTCATGCAAAAAGAGTGCACAAACTTTGTCTTCTTCATCATTTCGTGCAGCATAGCCGAAATCAAAAGAAATGCAGCTGTGGCCTGATTCGACATGTGGTTGAGGTTAATGACCATCTTGCCTGGCATGGTTTGCCACAAAGTTCACACCACGCAGCATATGGATAGTGCACTAAATTGTGCTGGGTACGTTGTGCTTCTGTTGGTTCAGCAGGAACTGGTTGGCCTATGGCTGGCCTCATCTGTTCACCTTGCAAACTGCGTTCTGCAGCATGGGCAGCAATGAGTTCTTGTGAGCGGGAGCGCACTTTTCTCGAACCTTAAAGGCCTCACGATATGTACATGGGTTTTCCATGTAACTGCATTGAAACTTGTTACACTTCTCACATGATTTGTGCATGTCATCCTGGCATGAAGTGCAGTCAAAAATGATTTGCCTCCTCGGCACTGTGCAGACTTTTGGCTCTCAGTGCCGTCTGCCATTTTTGATAAAATTCCAGCGCGCACCCAGCTGTATTTTGCTGGATGTTCACCACACAAAAATTCTTTTGAGTCTTCATGCATCTCCTCGAAAGTGTGCACATCTGCGTCCATAGTAGAGACTGCTTTGTAATCTGTTCTGGTTCCTGGCTGTCTCGGACATTTGGAAGAACAGATCCGCAATCCTTCTGTTGTAGTTTTCCACCATCTCACTTGTTACTCCATTTCTGATATCATTCAACATCTGCATCATCATGTGTTGGATTCTCACTGCATCGTTTGGCTCGTTTCTTTGTTGAGCCAGCCTGAACTCTATTTTCAATTCCTCCATCAAGTCTGTCATGCTGGGATCTTGTAGAGGTCTTGCTGCTGTCACTTCGTCATCTGTTGCATTCTCACTCTCTGCTGCTTCTTCTGTATTTTTGTTTCCACTCATCTGCACATCTGTTGTTTCTCCACTTTCCACATACGCACGTTGTCTCACCAGATTGAGGTATTGTCCTGCTCCCATCGCATTGAAAGCTACCAAGTTGGCTCTTTCCTGGTTTCCCATCGAATAGTGAAGACTCCAAATGGAAAACGTAAGAATCCACCCAGTTCCACAACTGAATAGTGAAGTCCAACCATATAGTCGTGACTCATCGACGCCTCATTGCTTGCTTCTGTAAGACGTCCATCAATCATCATAAATTGATTGTGAAGTCCATCGATCCTGGCAGCTTGTTGGGCAATGTAATTGTCCTCGTCTGCAACCTGAGTCCAACAGTAGTGGATATCCCACTCTGCTTTGTCCAGCTTCTGTGCGTACGTGTTGGGGTTCTCTTGTATTTTTCTCCATGCAAACCATGCCATGTATGCAAAAAGAAACCATAGAACCAGCAAAATGAAAATCACCAACCACATTCCAAAGTGCTCCTGGCGCTCGACCGCGTCAACGTTCACGCTGGGGCATTGTTCATTCACCTCAGCACTTTCTGCAACCACAGTACTCTCTGCAACCACCGGCCCAAGGCCTTGCACTGTAAGAAGTAGTGTGATCTTTCTCATCATCTTTGCCAGCTTTGTGATTTCCTTCTTGTTGGTTTCTTGTTCTGTCACATTGTTGTACTCATCCATTCCCAGAGGTTCTGCTGTTGCCGCATCAACCATACCAATCCCACAAAGTAAAAAAAGAGTAGCCTTGCACGTGGTAGGCTCTTCGTTCCAACGTCGCTGAAGTTCCATAGGGTTGGTACTTGATGAATAACAACACTGCCATCCATGACCTTTGATTGCATCCAAAGAAGCTTCCCTGACAAGTGTCTGATTCTTCCAACTCCTTGCCTTGAAATCAGCTGTCTTGCCGCTGAATTGTCAGTGAACTGGTGGTGTTCAACTTCTCCAGACAAAAAACTGCAAACAGCTTCGAATGAAAATGCCATCGCAACATCCACCAACCATACTATGCAACTCGCTTTCAGCTGATGAAAGTGAGATCACCTTCTGCGAACGACTTGAACCAAAGCAGAAGCATCCATTCAGGAAGTGATTTGAGCAGCTAGTGCTCCTCCTGTGTGCTTTGTTTGAACTCCAGTCTGCATCCGTGTATGTTTCAAGAAGCCAAAACGCTTCTGTGCCTTGCTTGAACTTTCCAACTCCATGTTCTGGAAACGGCAGCTTGACACCAATGTCACCTGTGTTTTTGATGAACCCGATCAACTTCCTGAGTCTTTGAACTGAGCATAGGGAAGGTGAGGACATAGCTGACGCAAGCTCTTTGACTACAAACATGATGTCAGCTCGGTCACGTGATAGGTACAAGAGCAATCCTATCACACTTCTGTAGTTCTTTGCATCTGCTGCTGAAAGTTTCTGCGCGTTGTCCTCTTGTTGCAGAGCTGAATCACTGGGTACCTTCTGCAAACGCGCATGACCAAAGTGTTTCTCAAAGCACTCAACCACTTTTGCTGCTGAAGTTCCTGGCACGATCATCATTCCATCACTCAACATCACAAGTCTTCGCTTCAAGAAATCGATTTCAGTTCCTGTTCCACCAAGCAGTTTGTAGCTCACACTGAACTTTTGTTGCATTGTCGGAAGAAACTTCTGAGACCATCCTGCAAAGAGTAAATCATCAACGTGCACCATGAAGACATTTCCTTCACATTTCGCAAGACATGGTTGAACTGAGCACCATTCGAAGTTCATGCTGCTTGTCACGTATTCTCTGAAATACCAGTACCATGCTTTCGCTCCAAGTCTCTGACCAGGAAGGTTTCTCAGCACAACGTATTCAGTTCCATGTAAGTTCACTGAAACCACATGTTGCTGGGGCACTTGCAAAAAGGCATCCTTGATGTCGAGTGCAGCTAAGACGACATCGTAATTTTCCTTGTCCAACTCGCTCAACTCCAACTGTTTCAACATCTGAAGAAAGACAATTGGCACAAGGTTTGATGTATGGCATCCAGTTGCAGGTGAGTACACATCATCACGTTTGTCGTTTGCAAATTCTCTTGCAACATATCTGCTACGTCACATCCATCTTTTTGTTTCACCTTTCCACAAACTGTTGTCACCATCATACGTTTTCAGTCGCCAGTCGTAAACAAACCTTGTTGTCAAAGTGCCGCTGATTTCACCTTTGAAGTCACAACTCTTTTGCAAAACTCCCATGCCAAGTAAACGCTGAATTTCAACCTCATCCGCAAGCATGTCAACCCAAGGTTCAGGTTGTCCTGGAACAACATCCACTGGGGAGTCCGACCAAAGTTCTTCAGGAACATTGGAAAATTGTAAATTTTCCTCATCACCCCAAATGTCATCGTTTTCAACCTCATCATCAGCTGCATCCAACTGAGGCTCATTGCTGTAATCATCCAGGGTGTGATATTCATCGTCACCAATTTTCACTGTTCTGATGACCTTCTCTTGCTGTTCACGCAACCTTCCAATTCTTTGTTTCTTCTGTTCCTCAACTCTCGCCTTCTTTGCATCATGTTCTTCTTCACCAGTCTCATCATGAGCACGACTGGTGGGTGAAGCACGTGGACTGGGAGGCTGTAGTGGTAGATCTGGGAGAGGAGTTCGTGGCACATACAAGTCATCATCTGCCAGCGCTTGTTCCATTTCTGCCAGAAAGCTCATGTCAAGCTCCTCCTCACCACGCACGTTCGTAGTTGTTGCTGCAAATGAAGCATCTGCTGCAATCTGTTGTGGATTTCCTGCAACTTCTCCAGGCAAAGTGTTTGAACTGTCCTGCAAACGTTTGTTGATTGGGTCCTCACTGCCCATTGCTTTTGATTCTTTCTCCTCGTTCTTTTCTTCTTCAGCTTTCTTTCTCACTGCATCGCCATCAGCATCATGAAACTGTGATGGCAAGATTGGACCCAGAGGCTGTTGTTGAGAAGCAGAAATTGGATCCACCGCGCGCTTTGTTGGAATGACACGTCCTCCAAAACCAGCTTTAAACCTCCAAGTCGGTGCATCAAAGTGGATGAAGAAACCAAGGTGTGACTTCCAGTCAGATTGAATGCGTCTCACACTCCTTGCAAGCATCACACTGGTGCCAGTGTAAACCACAAAAGTATCTTGTCCCTCAGTTTTGCCAAGCATAAGGGCTCTTTGCCATTTCGGGTTTCCTTTGTGGCTTGTGTGAGTGTATCCGAACAGTGGCTCTCCAAACTCAGCAAGTTTCCCTTTGTAAGGTTTTGAATACACCAACATATGGTGTGCATCCACGTACCACTGCATACCTGTTCAGAAGCCAGCTGGTATTCCAGATGTCCCGCCCGCGAATCACAGATCTGGAAAATGCGACACGTCAACTACGCCAACTGAGCTGCATCTTGGATAGTTGTACTATTTCAGCAAGTTATGAAGTCAGCCAGGCACAAAAGGCATTATTGCTCATGCCCCGCACTGCACAAGGTGCCAGCACCTCGTCGGAAGAATTCTATGCACAGGTGGCATTGCCAACTGATGAAGAAGAGTCAAATCATCAAGACCAACTCCAAGAGCACTAGCGGGCTACTCATGGATTATGATGATTGGAAAAAGGACATCTGAGCGGAATCTGAGAGGACTCTGAGCGCCGTGTTAGATACGCGTCTATCACCTTCTCACCCTAGATCTGTTTCACACCCTGTTTCACCATTTACTCTGGTTCACCTTTCCATTCGCTACATGGCATTGCCATTGCTAGCTTCTGGATTGCTCCAATTCTGTGAGCCCTGTTGCCCGTGTGGCTTACACTGTGTGATTTCGGGGCTCCTGGCTGGGGGGAGCCGGGGAGCCCTGGTTTCCGCTCAGTGTTGTGTTGGTTTCCCTTCTCACAGAGTTCGTGTATGGCGGCTTCTGTGATTGGTGCCGGTTTTGTTTTGTTTGGTTTGACCGCCATTCCAATCCTGAGGATGACACCATGGATGATACAATGCTATCACCTTTCTTCAAGTTACCGACGTCACGAACTGACCAGCTGATCACCCTGCCTTCTTTGTTTTGTTTGTTGTGTTGTTTTTTGTTTTTTTCGTTTTTGGGTGGTTTCGCTTTGGTTGGTTTTCTGTTTTGGTTCTGCTTCTTTTTTGTTTTTTCTTTTGGCATCGTGACAGCAAATAGGACTTCATGGGAGGCCCACATGACGAGACCGTTTTTCCAACTAACTCAAGCCCCATTTCCTGCGGAAGGTAGCCTCAACCTTCGAAACCTCTAGACCTACTTGGGTCAGCGTCCAGGACGTCGTCCTTAACAAACTAAGAGACCGTCCACGCAACCAAGTCAACCGATCCCAGAGCTCAGCCACTTTTACCACAACACACAAGAGACGTGTTAGCTCATGTCGCTATGGTTCTTGTTGGTGTGTCACTCCTTGACACAAAACAGATGCGGAGTCGCCAGTTAGCATCTTTCTGCCAACTTCACAAAAAGCGATCAAAAACACATGTCGTCACAAAAAGTCTTTACATCAAGACATGGTTTGTTTGTTTAAATAAGTTTGAGTGTTTGAAAACTGTTGAAACATTTCCAAGCACCAAAACATGTTCTATGATGTCTCCCTCAGATCTGTTAGCAACTCCAGTTCTGAATGCCTTTCAGAACGTTGCTCTCGCCATCATCATTGAGAGACAAAACAGACTAAACTTCTCCGATCAATGTCAAACAAAGTTCCTTCTTCCGAAGTCACAAAATGAATTCTACGATCTTCTCACGATTCCTTCGTGCACTTCACCGGCGAAAACTAAAGCAAAAGATATGGAAAATGGTTTGATTTTCCATGTCACTATACAAATTCAAATCCTCACTGTGTTCTCCGTGCAATCAAAGTACTCAAAGAAGACGAAAAACATATTGTTGTTGAGTTTCGTCATCTCCAATAAAACGTGCAGTACATGAGATGTGCAAATACGATGTCAACCATCACGGTTGATCTCACCATCAAGGTGAAAAACAAATTCACTTCTTCCAATGCAGAAAAGACCAAATGGATTCATCTCACCACAGATGTCGGAAATTTTCACACCCCCTTTTGAGATGAACTCCATTCCATGTATAGCTGTAACCCATCCAGACTTCAGCATATATCACCCAAGCTCGACAGGTAAATACATAAGGATGCCCTTAGCCGAAGGGCTACATAGTGACCACTCATCCAGTTCGACAATCTTGCAAACTACAGTTGTCCACATAGAATGAGATCCTGTATAGATCCAACCACCATCACAGTGTCATCAATCACAGAACTCTCGACGAACGGCAGTTCCTGCATAGAATGGCACATTAGCCGCTTTGCAGTCCACCAAATCTCGGGCCTTAATGTAACTTGACCAATCCAAGGCAGGACCCTTCGCTGAGTCTTTGGTCAAATGCTTTCGACATCATGAAACGTAGCTGGGTTCTTTCTCGAAGACAGTCTGATAATTTGTCTTCTCCCTCTCATACTTTCCAAATGCAAACTTGGTCTTTCCCCACATAGCCATATTGGCAACACCAGCTGGAAGCAAAGCCTTTGTGGCTAAATCTTCTGTGCCTCCCACACGCCCAATCTGACTCTGTGTCGACCTCAAACTCTGCATCTTCAAATCTACGCTTTGATGCATCGGTCATTGCACCACTTGATTCAGCTGTCGGCAATGGCATCTGAGAAGTACGACGCTGTGCCAACTGTTGAAACATCTTCTCATCCTCAATGCTCCAATTGGATGAGGCCATGGCTGCAAAATCAAAACCCGTCCGTTCGTGAAAAAGCACTAGACCGTGGCCAAACTCTTAGGAGCAATCAACCTAGAACGTGAAACGAAGTGTCGAACCACCATCACATTCGTGATAGGCATAGTGACCTTTAGATTGTTTCGCGGTTTGCGCGCACTGCATCTTACAGCATCGCGCAACAAAACTCTGCACAAATGCAATACTGTGAAAACTCCTGTCTGTCTTTGGCAACGTTTGTTTAAAACAACATGCAAAACAGGAAAAGTGAAAAGTGACGTCAACTTCTGTCTCTCTCTCTCACACAGTGTCCTTTCAAACGCAAATTCAACTCTTCTTCGAAGCATGTTTGACTGCAACCAAAATGTATCTCGCCAACTTTCTGTTGTAAAACGCTGTCTCAGCATAGTTGATTTGATAAAGTTCTACGTGTGTCTGACATGTACATGTGGAAAGTTTGGAGTGGAGATTTAATGCATTTCCCCAATTGGAATACCATCTTTGTTCTGACATCCAGTCTTGCACAACCTCACCAAAGCCTGATGCCTCATGTCAAAACTCTCCAAAAGATTCACTGTCTCAGGTCGGGACCAAATGGCATTTCGTTCTGGAAGCTCGAACGAATATGAGTCTGTATGTTTGAAGTAACCACCAATCGCGTTGATGATCTCATCCCATTCCTGGAAATTCTCAGTGACCACAATGCTGCTCAGTTTAGGTCCCCCCCCCCATATATAGGGTTCTGGGAGGGCGGGCCGAAAAAAGTACGAGTGGTAGAAGAAAAGGTTTTTTAACCCTCCCTACCTCTCCCTTGATGTGTAAAAAGCCACACGAACATAAAGTCATATGTGGTACCAAGGGAATGCATGACAGATTGTTGAGTTAAAATTTGTTTAAAAAGAAGGAAACGTTTAAGCAAACATCGTACAACGCAATCACAGCCTACTAAACCAGTGTACGTTTACCCCTGAGTTGCAAAATTTTTTTGGATTTTTTTGCACTGTTCTTTTTTCGTGACAGCACTCATCTTATATAAGACCAAACTCAGGTAAGCGAAGTTAGCAAGGGGCTGTGTTCCGGAAGTTTCGTTGTAAATGTTCGCCATAAACGTGGTATACGATTCATTGTATAAACGCCAGACATATATAAACATATAACGTAAGACGGAAAATATCCGTGGATACGCATTCGTCGCAAAACGTCTAAAGAAAAACAAACATGACATAAAATGCAAATCTGAAAAAATGATGCAGTCGGTTCGAGAGGGTGCTTCACTTCTTGCTCGCGCTCTGAGAGTCTGGGGCGTTCGCATCAAACGGTTTGTCTGGGCGATTGTTTGAAGACAGTTGAAAGAATCTGTCTTTTGTTGTGTGAATCTCACCTTAAGTGAGTTGTCGACACAATGCTGCTCAGTTTAGGTCCCCAGCTTTTGAAGAGCAGTGTTGTATGGCGATTGGTGCAAGTCAAGCACCAGGTCTGCCATGTCAGTTGAAGCGTCAAGGATACCGCCGTCAGTGAGATTGTACTTGTGTAAAGCTTCTTTCAATTTTCCACGAGACGGCAAATCTGACGGGTTGGAAAATGAACAAACCCTCTCAGTCCATGAAAAAGTAGGCCAGTGAAGTTCCAAGTCAGCCAACAATCGCGCCAAGACTTTCATGGATATCGATGGGCTGTTGGGCTTAATGGTGCAGACGCGATCCGCTTCGTTGTCAATCCACTCAATGACACGACGGCCGTGTAATTGTTTGCGCAGGCACCATCTGACTGACACCAATGCCCATAGTTCATTTTTTTTCCGTCCAACGCCTCTTGGCTTTCGCCAGGTCGTTCAACACGTCCAGTTGCATGTTGCATAGAACCGGTAAATTAACTAATCAATGCATACAAATAGCCGCCATTGGTTGGGGGCCACAAAAGTGAACTGGTATGGGACCTGTACATAGTCCAGCCGCCGTCACGATTCCATTGCAGAAACACAGCAAACAACCAAACAACACCAAAAGCAATAAAACACACAAAAACACAACCAAACAAAAAACACGCACCAAAAAACGCAAAGAGGAAAGTGATCGGCGGTCCAGTTCAGTGACTAGCGATGAGGATGAGGTGATAGCATTGTATCAACTCAGGTATTGGTGTGGCAAAACCAAGAAAAGAGAGAACACAGAGACACAAAAATCACATTGCCATACCGTCGTGTGAGTGAAGCAACACAGCACTATGCGGAAACCAGGGATCCCCCCAGCCAGGATCCCCGAGATCACATAGAGCAAGCCATCAAGGCATAACAACTCACAAACATAAAACACTTCGATGCTAGCAACGACAACGCCGTGTAGCAACTGAAGTGGTGAGACAACAGTGAAAACGGCGGTGAGAAGGATCTAGGGTGAGAAGTGATGTCGAGCAAGCAGGCAGTCGGTGAGAGGCCCTTCAGGAAGGTACCTTAAGGGGGGAGCTTGAGAAATTGAATTTGAAGGTCCGTTGAGGAAGGCTTCGAAGCCCCCTTAAGGTGCCTTCGAAGCCTTCGAAGCTCCCTCAAGGTACCTTCAAAGGCTTCAGCCAAGGCTTCAACGCTCGAAGCCACCTTAAGGTACCTTAAGGGAGCTTCGAAGGCTTCGAAGGCACCTTAAGGGGGCTTCGAAGAATTCGTCCAAGCCCGCTTAAGATACCTTCGAAGTCTTCGGCGAAGACCCCTTAAGGTACTTTCGTCGAAGCCCCCTTAAGGTACCTTCGAAGGCTTCGAAGCCCCCTTAAGATACCTTCGAAGCCTTCGAAGCCCCCTTAAGGTACCTTAAGGGGGCTTCGGTTCCTCGTTCACCCCCCCCTCCCCCCCCGTCCCCCCTTCGGCAAAGGCTTAAGGTACCCTTCGTCGAAGCACCTTAAAGTACCTTCGAAGGCTTCGAAGCCCCCTTAAGATACCTTCGAAGCCTTCGAAGGCCCCTTAACCTAGGGAACAGTTCGACCTTAAAAAAAAAGCCCCAGGTGCTCCCGACCATGAAATCCCAAATGTGTGGCCAAATGGTTTTTTCACGGCCAAATGGGTAGACCCCTGCTTCGCGCCTTCTTTTCACGGTTGCATTTGGCTTCGTGGGCTCTTTTCACGGTTGCATTCGGGTTCGTGAGCAACAGCTAAAATTTCACGGCTTTCCTGTTCGTGCGTATGAAAAATATAAAGGTTGTAAGCTCCGCTGCCAACAAAGGGTTTGCATGCTTTTGCATCAGCTATGAAGAGGCTTTTCCACCATGCCATGCCATTTTTTTACGTGGCAACACGAGCTGCTTCCACGGTTTTTCCGGCTCCAGTCGGGCACAGTGAGCCAAGTACATGGGTCATATTCGACAATTATTTTCTGTATGAATGTATACGTATGTAAATGCAGTAACGAAATACATGTCTATATATTGTCATAAGTCATAAGCATGATATATATATATATATATAATTATGTGTGTATACATAATTATATATACTTACATATATTATATATATGCACATATCTATATATATATATTGTAAAACAGAATTAGGGATAGTAAAGCTGTCGTATGAACACCTAGGCGGCAAACAGCAGAAACTCCCGGCGCATCTCAAAACTTCAAGCCTTCCAACCCCAGCAACCCAAAAAAATCTGCCTTTGTGAATTTGGTTTTGCTATTGGAACAGCATTGCGGCCATGGTTTTCAGGAAGCCACAACAATCAGTTGTCTCTGAAAGAAACAAAACTTAGAGGGTATGCGGTTGCAATCTTGGGCGACTGCATGGCCCTGGTGAAATGCCAGAAACTCAGCGGTTTTTTTTCTCCTCTTAGCGGGTCGGTCACTGGGTTTCCATGCTTCGTTGAAGCTGCAACGGCAGGGTTAATAACCATCTTTGGAGAACCCTTTGTGGTGCAGTAGTACAATCCACCAAACGCAATGTTTTGCTAATCTTCCGTAACCAATCCTCATCCATCCACGTACTGTACTTCGATGGGTTCACCTTCCGGTGGCACCGAAAGATGTGGTGTAGTAAGTGCAGCTTGGGCCGACATTTCCAAAGAAATTTGTTTTGACTGAGAGCGTCGTTCGCCAGTCTGAGATAAACTCTCATGAACACTGAACCAAGAGTTCGAATCCTTGAGCGATCCTGCTCTGTAAGGTACCACGACCCTGAATACATAATTTCCATGCTACTGTTGAGGGCCCAAAGTAGGGTGCAAAATTCTGGGTAGATATTGTCGTGACCTGCCAGAACATCTTGAAGCCACCTTGCAACAACACTCACATCATACCCAGATCCTGATCTCAGTTCAGCATAACGATTGCTGCCCCAGTTGAGTTTCTTCTTGGAAAGTTTTTTCATCCGAAGTGGCAATGCATGAGCCCGTGCGAAGTTCCGGAGACTGACTGTTGCTGTAGCTAATTTTTCGTCAATGGTAGCTCCATCAAAGACATGGTTTTCCTTGACCAATGTTTTCAGAATGGCCCCGCACAGATCTCTTCCCACTCCTAGATTCAGGACATGCAGTAAATCTGGCATGATCATGCCAACATGGAAGCCATCGAGTTGACTATAGGGAGGGTCCTCTTCCCAAGGGTTTGAATCCAAATATGTAGCCCAAAACGGAGCATTTTCAGAAGCGTTCGTGAAGCATAGGTCCATATCGTCATGAGCGCCTTTTGTGGCCCGGCACAACCAACATATCTGCGCAGGGTGCCACAGGAGGGTTCAAGTTTGGAGGAGCTGGTGGTTCCCAAAAATTCAAAACGACCAGAACGATCAGAGCTGAACAATTTCATGGATTTCCTTTGATTTCGTCAAAACATGTCAAAACCAAATTTGCTGGCCTGGTTCCTGTTGTAAGACCGATTGAAGGAAAACACCTGCGCCAGAGCCTTCCAATCTCCTCTAAATCCAGCAACGAAGAATCGAAGAAGAGCCACCTGGGGTGGCGATAAACCAAACCATTCTATTGATGGGTACCAAACCAAATACAAAGAATCAAACTGACTCCTTCAATTGTCGAAACAGGTGGGTCCAGGTATCCTTCAAGTAAGCAGTGTATGTTTATCTGTGTTTTGTAGAGGAAAAACCATGTGGGAAACTGCCAAGAAAATATTCTAACCCAGTCACTGGTTGGGTTCGTTGGCACTCCAAATTGCGAATCTTCAAGCCAGATCTTGAGAGAGTGTTGAAAGAAGAGACAATGCATCGAGTGATAGCTTCCAAAGTGATGTTCACCCCAGATTCTGACATAGCATATCGTGAAGCAGGTACGACAGCTATTGGAAACCTACTAGCCACTGAATTCGTCAAAAATGGTGAAGAATCAGATGACCACAGCAGGAACATGTAGTTGTCTCCCAACGCATCTATTTCATCGCCTCAACGGTGTGGGAAATGCATTTCATAAATGATTTTTTGGTGGTTCTTCCGCGCGAACATTTGTAAACAAAAAGTGAAAGAAACAGAAATAGACTTGTTGGGCCCCCTGGCTAGGCACAGTAAAGAGTGCAACCAACACTTCTGTTCAGGTGTGGGTCCCGCAAACGAACCATATGTCCTGGGTAATCCTCCAAGAAGTGTTGCCAATAGTCTGGCAATTTGGCCACATCGTCCACCAAGGCCTTCAAATATCCTTCTGACAGCAAAGTAGAGGCCTCAGCCACACCAGGAAGAAAGGTGAGGAAATCTGATTCAGACTTGGTTTCCTTTCTGGGGCTTCTACCCACCAAAAAAAAGAAACATGAAAATGACAGGGCACAAAGTCTGTAGGCAGAAGGGCTGGCCAGCTTTCCATCACAATTGTGGGATCATCGCAAGACTTTTTCATGGGCACTTCTATGAATGACATTTTGACCGGTAGACTTGCACCACTTCGCAGGGCCCGTTCATGTAGGCCACATTCTCTGTCAGAACTTAGCTGAATAGTTGCAGACTTGCGAAGAAACAATGCGCATGAATGTTTTTGTGTCATTCTGGCTTCTAAAAATCGTGTTCCACCTACGTTTGCACCAAGTGGCGTCATAACATCAGAGTCATAGACGGCCGCAAGATTGCGAGAATGACGTACTGATGTTCGACCAGATCCAACTAACTCCAATAGCCTCAGGTGTCAGTCGGCTTTGTAATTTTCAACCGATTTGGGTGGTCAAACCAAGACCGTGGGATGGTGGAAATGAAAATATCCGGCTATAATCGCTTGCAAATATCGATGTTGTTCCATCATCCTATGTAGAATGGTGATGGGGAAACCAAACAAATAGATTTCGAAAGGGTCAGCTGCAGCCCTACCAATAATTATAGTTTGGGATATTTATCCAAGTAGCTGTTGGTCCAACCGTTCCCGAAGAAGATGTGTTGCTGAGGATGAACCTGCGTGGGGCATTCGCTATAACCCATCAAAACCCATATGTTTAAATTCAAAGCTTTCCATATGGCGCATTGAAAGCCCGTAACAATTTTTCACTCTTTTAAGATGATGCGCTTCCACTGGCCATTGCGAACTGCATGGCCCCAGGGCTTTCTCTGCAGTGCAAACTTTCGACAAAAACTTGGGCTATCGTGTTGCTTAAAAGGCGTGTTGCCCCACACTGCGGGGTACCCCACCCTTGAAATTCACAAAGTTCGTGGTTTTCTGATTTTTTGGTCGAAATTGGGAACCATATATATGCTATTATTAATCCAATGGGGTACCTTTATAGGCAGCGCCAAAAGGAAATCGAACTCTATAGGCCTATGAGTTTCTACCGCTCCCACGCCAACGGCAACAAGATTGCCCGCAAGCGGTCAAATTGCCCGCGTTGAGGCAGCATCCTACTTGGCCTCCTTGGTCTTCCGAAGCTCAGCCGCAACAGCGCGTGCCTGGGCTCGCAAAAGTTTGCAAGCATCCACCTGCAGCAGGGATCCATTGGTTATTTGACATGGGTAGATGTGGAAGGTTATTTGTGTAACGGGTGGAACCTTTCCTCAAATCCCCAGCTACTATTTAAATAAATAGGTGCACACACACATATGTACATTATATATTAAAATGAAGAACCCCCCACCTCGCTCGAAGCGTCCTCAATGACAGCATCGATGGTCTCATCAGTGCAGGAATTGATCCTGAATTTTAAAACTGGGCCGCATCGGTGACAAGAAATGGTCCAAACATATTTCGGGTTAGATATCCCAGAAAATATTTTTTTGGCTGCAAAGTGAAAAAATTGAAACATAATCAGATCAAGGGTCTTGTCCACAAAATCCTCCAAAGTGGTTTTCATCTGGGCAACCTGCTGACGGAGAGCATTGTCAGCAGGCAAATCAAAGATGACAGAGCACGCGTTCAGCTCCTTCTTGATGTCTTTACCTGCAGTCGGTTTGCATGGCGCATCATCAAAAAGAAATGTGACAAAAGTGCTTAGGGAAGTTTATTTTGCCCAGATTGAATTTTAAGTTTCGAGGCCTGAAAAAAGGTTGCAAGGGGTGCAAAAGGTGAAAATTTTCATTGCAGGAACAAATTTTCACACGGAAAGCTACGGGCTGACTCTTTCTTTTCCTTCGTGGTCTGGGGATCTTCCTTCTTCGCTTTCTTCTCCTTTTTCTCCTTCTTCGACTTTTCCTTCGTTGCCTCCTTCTTGTCCCGGTTGCCGTTCTTGTCACCCTCCTGGCAATCTTTCATGACTGTCACCAGCGACGACAATGACAGCCCACCAGATGGAGCTGCAGATCCACACGCAGAACTTGATGGCAAAGAGGATGCATCCACCAATGATCCAACTGTCTCGGCATTGGACCTCACATTGATGGATGCCTGGCCAGTGACCGCCACTTTTTCCCTGTCAGTGCACCGACCGGCCGTAAAGCACCAAAATCTCACACTTTCTGGGCAGTCAGGACAATCTTCGTCGTAGACCGGCTGGTTCTTCGAGATGATACTGTCGATCTTCTTCCTTCAGGGATCAAAGAGAAAATGCAAACATCATTTACAGATACTTTTCCACTGTGCAGGCCATTGATTGTTCAACTTTGGGCGGCTATCAAAAAAAGAAGAGGTGAATGAATTAAGCAAGCGAGGTTCTGGCTGAATCCACGATCCACCATATCCTTGATGGTCAGGAGTTCCTTTTCCTTAGCCACCTCCGTCTCTTGGCTCTTGGTCAAGACAAGCTGAGTTTCACAGGCGTTCAAGTTCTCGCCCGACTCAATCCATTGCTTCAAGAGATCAGACTTCTCCTGTTCGGGCTGATCGGCAGTTGATCACTAACAATTCAGAAAAAATCAACAGGCACCGAACAACTCTGATTTTGCAAAAAGTATGGTCGAGGTTTCAAATGGTTTCGGCATAAAACCTGTCCTTTCTCGATCCAGACCAGAGCCTGTACATCTCCGGGCAGGCTGCAGCAGCATCTGCAGCAGCCATGCGGCGTGCCAAACGTGCGTGCTCTTTGCGGTGCGTCGAGCTGTTGATGATCACCACCGGGGGTGCCGTCTCAGCTCTCACACTTTCAACGTCGCTCTCTTCGTCGGCAGTGGTTTCATGGGGTCCGTCGGCTTTCTTCACCTCATCCTCCCCCTTGGCTGGCTCCACAACCTTGTCACCGTCCTTTGCCTCCTTTGGCTTGGCAACCTGTGGCTTCTCTGGTTTGTTCTGTGCCTGCTCTGGCTGCACATGGGGCTTCGAAGATGCAGGTTGACCTTTCCGAGCCGCTTCCAACTCAGCGGAACCAGAAGCAGGTTTTGAACAAAACTGGTCAGCCAAACTTCGGAAAATGGCACGAAGATCGGGGTCAGTAAATCCATTCTGCAAGGCCGTCAAAGCAGCAAGAAGGTGGTCTCGGTTGATCTGGTCCGATCGATCCGCCTCCAAATGGGAAGCTGAAGGGCCCAACCTCAGTTAATGCTGGCTAGTGATGGGGTGCTTCTTTCTTGGTTTTGCCCAAAGGTCTGGAAACAAAAAGTTCACAGGAATGGAACGGGGAAGATTGGAATCCAGAAACAGCTGGGTTGGAATTGGTTTTCATGTCAAGAGTGATTCCCAGGGGTGAATAGAGAAATGGAAGTCAATGGTGAAGCTGCTGAAAAGAAACTCCGACAAAGTGTCCTCCGGGGCTGCTGTGGGCTTGACTGCAGAGGCTTGCTTTGTCAACTCCTGGGCACCCAGAACCAAAGTCTCGCAAGACCTGAGAGAATGAAGAAAAGATTGATCATTTTCAAGCAAGAACAAAAATGACATTTTAGTCACAAGGCTCTTTTTAAACCATAACGATATCCCTTTCCGATGAATGTACTTACTATATGTTCAAAAACGTGCCTTGTCTTTTTCCTCCACACGCAAAAATGGATCATTATACCATTTCTTCGGGGCGCAATAAAAATGTAACCCCTCCCAACAGACAGACACTTCGACAAACACTTCGAGGAACTGGAGCCGAGAAGGCGTTTTGGCAGCCGAAGACTTCCCCGAAGCAACTGCCTAAACAGGGTGGAGCCATGAAAATGTCTACGGAAGAACGTAAGTTCGGGAAACGGGAAAAACGGGAAAAAGAAAATTCCCATAATTTCGGGCAAAATGCATTCGCCTTGGTTGGTGTCGGGACATTCTTCATGCCCTCCTTCAACGCATGCTTTGCGTCCAGCACTTCATGGTTGGTCGGGATCTTCACAGGTTCTGGTAGGCCAGGTGGGTCCAAAGGGCTGTCTTCGCAATCCACATCGAGGTCTTCGGGACGTGCCACAGTTGGTGGAATCTGGGGCGGTGGTGGTGGTGGGTGGGATCCACTCGATGAAAGCAAATCCTCCTCTTCAGAGCTCTCAGAATCTGACATTGAAACATCGGTAGGGGCCACAGGGGCGGCTGCAGCCACCTTCCTCACTTTCTGCGGTGGGCCTGGCAAGAAAAAAGCAGGAATCCCAAATTTATTTCTTATATGATAGTACAGGTGTCCACAATCATAATGCAAACTGCTGATAAAATCTGTCTGAAGTGACGTTGCAGGCTTTAGTTACTTTCAAGAACCCCGACCTTGTGAAACTTCACTGCGAACATTCTTCTCTTTAGGCCCTTCTACCTTGACATCAGAAGTCTTGGGTCCCCTTGTCACCTCCACAGGACGCAGGAGGTTAGCAGAGTTAAAAGTGCCATCTTCATCAAAAAGGTGCAAAGGTACATCGAACTTCTCCCAGTACTTCTTCCCCTCCGAGGTTGCTCCACACATACCCAGCAAAAAGGTGCAGGTCTCACGGTCATCCAAGGCGTAAAAGGCTTTGAGCTTGGCGAAGTTGCCCCAGCAAAGCTCGAAGTTCAACTCGCTCCGGTCAAAGTCCTTAAGGGAGACCAAATCCTCGGCATAGATCTGGAGATCCTCGGGATCCGTGGGTGGTTCGGCTGGCTTCCCCTTGCTCTTCGCCTTCTTGGTCTCAGCTGGCTTGGTCTTTTGGCGGGCACGACGTTCCGGGACATCCTTTGAAGGTTCCTTGGAATCCTTGGAAGTAGAGGGCATGGAGGTAGAAGGTTCCTTGGTGTCCACAGGTTCCTCAGAGGTTTCCATAGGAGCAGCAGGTTCCTCAGTGGCTGCAGTATCCTTCTGCTGACGGAAGTGTCTGGCCAAATCAGACAGCTGGCTCACACTGGGCGCACTGGCTCTGGCAGCCTTTGCCGAAGACTTCGTCTTCGCCATGAAAAACACGAAAAGAAGGTACGCCAGTGGCTAGAAGGGAAAAAATCCTAAACGGCTATGAAACACTTGATTCTGAGCAACGGAGAACCAATCCATCAAGTAAAAACGCCCGAGAAAACGAATTTCCGCTTTCACGTTTTTCATGGTCGTTTCATGTCCAGGAGCGTTTTTTTCATGGCCTTTTCACGCTTTTTCACGCCGGAAAGGTTTTCGTGTTTTCATGGTTTTCGTGGTTTTCGTGATTTTCGTGATTTTCATGCTTTTCAGGCTTTTCGGGCTTTTCGTGATTTTCGTGATTTTCATGCTTTTCGTGATTTTCATGCGTCCCATCTCTTTTGAACTTCACCATTTTCATGAAACTACTGCAGAGTCCATCACAGAGACAAAAAACACACCTTTTGCTCACACGACCCCACCGTGCGGCATCGGTTTGTTCAGAACACTTTTGTGGCCCTTTTGGCAACTACAGAGCAGCGAAATTTCCAGTGATAGTGTGACGGAATCACACATTCATGGATCTCAGCCCCAAATCATGGAGCACCCGGTCCTGGGATGAGAGCTTGGGCTAAAGCCACCATTAGCCTATTGAAATATAACATGGTAAATTCCTTATCTCAATATATACAGTGGAAATAAAATTCCTGTATATATAATTTGGGATGATATTCCTTCTTGTACATATTGGTATGATATTGAGCACATGGGTCTCATGCTTAAAGGATGGAACGGATAATGGTCTTTATGATTGTGTTCACCTGGACCTACGCTTGCAGTTGATCAGATGGCTGAACGCACAATGGTGTTAATTCATCAGTCTTTGTGAAAGCCGTGGAGGCGATGAATCCATAGTTTTACAAATGGGAATAGGGATTGAAAACTGAGTGCCCCAAAGCATTTTAAAATGGGGTGGTTCCAACACGTTTGGGGCACTAAGGCTTGGAGGGATTCAGCCCACAATTTGTTTGAGACCCCTTTCCACACATTCTTCTAAACTTTACGAAGCGAACCAGTTCTATAGCAATGCAAAACATGAAAACTGAATTTTTGTTGATAGGGATTCCCATGACGACCTGCAACTAGCTCCTTCAATGCCCAAGGTTCCCATCCATGCGGGATCTGCATGTGTTTGCAGCGCGCAAGGTAAAGGACTGCATCCATCAGCTTCGCCTGGACACATGGAGCCACTTGAACACCTATGTGGGGAGGGAGCCCGCTTTTTGGCCAAACCCCTCATGAAACATGAAAATGATAGTTTGGATAAGAAATCATCAGTTTCTGAATCCAGTTGGTTTTGGTCTTGACCTGCCTCTGGCCATTGGTCCCCCAAATCCATACAATGGTGACGGAAGAGCTCAAGGTCGGTCATAGTTGCATCCAAAGTTGGGGGATTCGGAGGGCCAGGAAGAGGTTCCTGATCAACGTGAATGTCAGATTTCACAACCCAAAGGGGACCAAAAACCAACGCAGAATATATTCCATATATACAACAAGGGGTTTTGTATATACTAGTAGTATATAACTTTTTAACGGAATGGAAGGTGCTCTTGAAAGTTTCTCCATGTGGGAATGTTTCAAAATACGGGGATTCGGATACTTTCGCATTCATATTTTCCTGAAGCTATCGCCCAAGAATCCCCAGCTCGAGACTGCACCATCTCTAGCACGAATTGTCCAAACTCAGGGGTGTAGAACCTCAGGTGGCCCAGAAATTTGGTATTGCGAAAGGGGTTTAAAAAGCGCGCCCTTTTTTTGCCTTAAAAAGGTGCCTAAAAACGGGGAAAAAAGGGCGCTCCTAAAATTCAAAAAAAAAACGGGAAATTTCGACAGTACAATCCATTACTAAAAAACTGTATTAGGATTCAGGCAGGGGACTGCGATTCACGAAGTTCCTTTTTGCGACCCACAGATCTTTTTTGGCCACGTGAATCTAGGTATGTCTTACTTGTCCGCACAGGGCATTGTTGGGCCTCTTCCCTTGACATATACCCGGCTTTCCGACAGAGGAGCAAGATCATCTCCTTGTCATTTGAATACATGACATGGGGCTTTGGGCTTAAACTTTTGAAGCGGCCCATCCAAAACCTTCCAGACCACACCTGAGTTTCCATGAGATCATGAAAAAAATATTTCCATGGACCAACCATGATACCCCGACAGAAATTTTGAGAATTCGATGACTTTTCATGTTTCCAAGATTGTGGAGGCCGGGACAACAACAACAACAAATCAAAATCATTAAAAATGTTATTTGTCAAATGACATCCACCAGCTCCAGGATGATCTGGAAGCGTGGCATCACATGGAAACAAGATCCGCTTGGCTGCTCCAATAGCCATCGTAGTCCCTTATAACAGCACACCAATATCAGTAAACATACTCTGCACCCCAGTATGTTTCCAGTCCGGACAAAAATGTAACCCACGTTGCCCCAAGGTCTGAAGAACGATCGGCCAGACGTATGCCTGCACCTGGGCACCAGGTAAGAAGCTGCCACAGAAAACTGAGGAATGATGACCCATGGACGGAATTGTGGGGATGTTCCAAATGGCTGTGAGGGCCTTTGGGCATGATGATTTGTGGGGCGTGAAATTTGAAATTTCACGCCCCACAAATCATCATGCCCAAAAACCTGTCTTTATTTGTGACATTTCTATACATCCCCCGGTTTTCTGTCACAAAAATAAAGGGTTTGGCCGGGCATCACCCAATAAGTACCCATGAAAATTGTTGTGGCATATCTGTCACAAGTGGGGCTTCCAAATCAGGAAAAGTTCCAAAAAATATTCTTACAGGTTCCCTTCAGTTTGGAGGAATATTGCATAGCGTGAAAATCATGGATAAAAATCAGAAACCCAAAAAAATCACTAATTCATGAAGGCGCATTCTGGAAAACGATTTGCAGCAGGGTGCGAGTAGAACCATAGAGCCAGGTTTGCATCGTAGAATTTCGTTCAAAGTCAGCCTTGGAGGACGTCGTAGAATTTCGCTCAAGTATCATCGGATCGGGAACTACAGAGATTCCTGTTCGTCATGGAAATTACTATGGTGATTCCCTGATCAACAGTTGCATCAACCAAAAAAACAAATGGTATAATATGGGCAAAAATTGAGTAAACGGTGTCGGGGCTCACAAATCCACCCGGAGTGGTGAGGTCAAAGACTCGGGGGTTGATGTCCACGTCGATAGCTGCTCCAAGCATGTGAGCCTTGGTGTCGGGAGCCCCTGATAAAGTGTCAGGCTGTGGCCCAAAGCGCCAGGTGGTGGAAATAATTTCGTTTCATGCCTCAATTTTTTAACTTTGCATTTTTTTGGGAGTGCCAGTCCCATCCTTATATCCGAGCCACGTTGCGGAACGCTTCAGTAACAGCTCCGCGTCCAGCAAATACTTCGCAAAAGTCACGGTCCTTGGTTGTGGACATTGTGCGGGGCTGTTTCAATACAATGTTTGAAATCAAAAACACACACATCATTTTTATCTTTCGATCAGGCCCCGTAATCGGCTCTCTCAGTTGCCCTTGAAACCAGTATAAGGGTGGAAACAAAAACAACCTTATGAATGTCATAAGAAGCGTCAACTTCATGCTTCAGTATGGTGTTCCAGCAGGTGAGGAGACATAAGAGGATCATACAGGGAGGAAACTTCCATTGAAGCATCCCCAAAACACCCATGGCGAGCAGCTACGATATGGCGTGCCAACCACGAAAGTTCAATCCCTGGCAAAATTTTCTTGGGCCTTCGAAGATGTAGCCAAATCAGATTCGATCAGGTTTGTTCAAACGTGAAATTTTCATATCATCTCCTCCATCTCACCTAATGGTGCACCGTTCCTTCCCCTAAATTTGTATCATTATCATTTGGGGTTTCGGACAAGCCATGTTTTCTGCCAGGTAAGACGGAAATCCCAGTTGAAACAGCCATGAAACCGATTCTCAGGCTGGATTTTTTTCCCCACACGATTTGAATCTTGAACATCGAATGTCACCGGCTGGAGCCGATGTTTGGTATCTGTACCCTACCCAATTGGCCCCACCTTTGGTGTAGAGTAGGCATGAAATGAAAAAGGACACACATATATATAGCTAAGGCAATTTTGCCCAAGGGTTGGCAGCGCAAGATTTCGCCACAAACTTGCGGCGCTTAAGTTCAGCAAGCGAGATGGGAGCCAAAAAATCTCTCTTTTCTTGGCTGTGATCCCAGAGTTCTTTGGCCGCTTTGAAATTCAACCCTTTCTCTTTTCTGGCGGCATGAATGAAAGACAATCGAATTGAATTGTAATTCCAAGGTGACCCTGATGGAGTAGTAGCCTTTCTGGCTTCTTTGGTTGGCTTCTTCTTTGATTTTCGGGGCTTCTCTGAACCCTCATCCCCTGATGAATCAACAGCCTGATCACCACCCTCACCCTCAGCTGCAGCCTCCCTGGAAGCTTTCATATTGGCCACATACTGCGAATGGAGGGGAAATGCTTTCGGCACCGGTGCACCATCGCCCAAAGCTTTCATGACCTGATAGAAAATGGACCCAACTTAGGCTTGATTCCCCATGAAATTTCGATCAAGTTGTTTTTCATTTTTCACAGCAAAATATCATTCATTGGCCATGGAAACAAGTTGGATTTTTCCCTGGAAAGAGTGTCGGTGATTCAGATACTAATAAGCGTCCCAATAAGAGGTTGGACAATTAAAAGATGTGCGAAATTAAAATCAAAACCCCGACTAATTAGAGACAAAGGACATAGTCTGGGACCCCTGGTGAGCCAGAATTCCCATCAGCATGCTTTTGTTCGGGGGACACTGGATCCGACTGTGCAGCTCCAGCTCCACTCAATCGTCTCATCTTAGACTTTTGGAAGATCTGAGCCAATTTGACTTTTCCCTGGTTGATTTTATTCTCCTTGATTTTCGACTCGGCGCCCACCACTAGGGGGGGATCCTTACCAACGGGCGAAGTCTCCCCCGGAGACTTACCAACCTCGAAGGCCTTAAGCTGGTCTGCCACCCGAACCAACTTGGCCATAATCGAACTCTGGGCCGAAACCTCGCTCGATCCAAGGCCCGACACCATGGAACCACTGCTCGATGACGATGTCCTGATGTCTGGAATCTCGGACAGGTTGGCTGGATCTCCACGGCCACCCTGGATGGGAGAAATCAAGGAAAAATGGATAGTGAACATGGTCCTATAGTAAATATTCGCAAGGCTTCGAAATAAACGAAGTTGAAGCAAGGTCCATGGGCCAAATACATGTAAAAAAGTATTTTAACAATTTTCCACCTTGGGCAAAGGCCAACCGATTTTCACTGCGTAATCCTTCATGCGCTGGAGCTTCTTGTTCTTCGCACGCGTAGCTTTTTTCAGGAGTCTACGGAATCTGGAGACCTAGGGGATACCGATGACCAATGGATCCATAATAACGGTCAATAAAATAGTGAATGAAGAAAAATCGCATGGAAAATTCTCAAACCTGGGACCCTGACCAGTTTCTTCAAGATTGCGCCATTCTTGAGCGCCCAATCGGAAACAGCGGGAATAAGTGCAGAAAGACCATGGGGAAACAATTTCTGTTTCGTGTACCACTGCAAGAGGGCTCGCTGCAGGGTGTATGCCGACATCTGAGGGGCTCGGTTCTCACAAGAAAGACTTCCCTTTATTGTTGCCATCAAAACCTCACAGTTTGAAGCGTCAAAGTTGAAAACCCTCAGGGACAATCGGTTGACCCTCATGAAAATTAACCATGGGAAGGAAAACCAATAAGTTCTGTTTACTATTTCTTATGAAGGAACATGCCGATTGGCCACCACATCTTTGATCGTAGGGCGCTTGGCGATGCGTCCAGAATGATCGACTAAAAGAGTCAGACCAACCTCCAGGGAGAGGACATCATTCAAAGTAGACATCCATCGACCTTTACAAATACTTAAGTCCACATGGGTTGTTGAAACAAGATATTTTCTTTTCACGGTTTAGAGTCCCCAAAATACCTCCTTCAACTTGGGGTGCTTGGTGTAGGCATTCACGAAATGGATGTAGTCAGTGTCTGACTTCACATTCACATCGTCATCTGATGACTGGCTTTCAGAATCATCCGAAAAATCAGAATCCAATGGCGTCCCATGTTCGCCCTTCTCACCGTGAGCGCCACCCATTGCGCAACAAACCCTACAAAAAGTTCCGATGGAACACTCCCCAAAAAGCTGAGCTATGAAAATCGGCATTTTATGCAGAAATCAAAAAATACGACCACTGTTACAACTGTTGCCTTGAGATTTTACCATGTGCAATTCTTCAGCTCACTCGATCCTCTCACCACCTACTGGGCAGGGGCGGGCACGCACCAGTGCTGGTACCGCTGAGGTGTGTGAAATGCGCCATACATAGCCTGGCGCATCGGTGGAATCTGGCGTGGCTTGGAGGTGACTCGCACCTTGACAAAAAAGAATTCAGGAAAACATGCACATATACATATACATATGTATATATATTTTCATACACGTAATACAATACTATATATATATAGACTATATATACATAACTACGAAACATCGAAGTTCTCCAAAGTTCCGAGATTTTTCTCACCAATTGCGTTCCAGCAATTTTTCCAATGTCATCACCCGATATATGTTCAGATTCAAACAAGCCAGACCAGCAGTGCGGCGAAGCTGAGCAGTTTCACCAGCCGGTTCCAGGGCCTGAGGCATTTTCACATCCAGGGATATTTGTCAGATGGGGCTATCCAGTTTGAAAGTTGCAAAACCTATGGGGTGATGGTGGGATTTTGATATCATGTTTCTCATCTTGTACCAACTTCGGGGACCTCAGCGACGAAATTCTTGATATTTTTTTTGCAACAAAGGGTGTGAAAATCGACCTGCACCCACGCGTTGCCTCGAAATCATGCCAAAGGGTGAAATACCATGGGGCACTATCAGCGCAAAAAAAAATGCATTCGACACTTAACATGCGTTCACCTCTTGGTCCGATCGACAAATTAAAGATGCTCAGAACGATTGGTTCCAAAACAAACTACAATTTTCAGTGGAAGATGTGGCTGAAAAATGCTGGCCACTTCCAAGAAATGAAAACCAATCGGGATTTACCTCCAGCTGCTACAGGCTGGCTTGAATGAGCGGCGAGAATCAATGGACGAGCGAAAATTGAGAACACAGCTCGGATGAAATCACCTGGATTCAGCACAGTTCGAACTTTCTTGGTGCGTTTTTCTCCTCCATGTTTTTTTTGGTTTGCTTGCAGTCCACATTTCATAAAAAAAAGTATGTAAACCTCAATAAGTTTAAACAGTGTTTGGTTTCATGCAGTCGGCATACCTCCAGTTCCAGTTGACCCCAAAGGTTTTACTACAAACATTGGACTCAGACGATACTCTTCAACAACCTAACATATATATATATATAATACATATATATATATATATTATATATATATATAGATAAGTATAGAGCCTGGGCAAGCCAGATGACGGAAGTTTCGAATCAAGAAAAGCATTACGAGGAACGAAGCCTGGCTGCCTGGTTATCACAGCCGTTGACTGCCTTGTCTGATCGAAGATTTTTTTCTCTTGGCAATTCCTTGTGGTGCCTGCTGTTTGTTTGGATGCCTTTTTTTCCTCCACATCCTTGCTTGATGTCGACGCCGAATGAGTTTTCACAGCAGCATTGCTGTTTTCACTGCCAAATGATGTTTCACGGCCAAAGGGTTTTCACATACATGGTTTTCACGGCCAAATGTGTTTTCACGGCCAAATGGTTTTCACGGCCAAATGGTTTTCACGGCCAAATGGTTTTCACGGCCACAAGGTTTTTTCACGGTCTTTTGAGCAAATTGCATTTGGCCACCTTTTTCATGGACAAAGCGCCCCCTAGGAAGGTACCTTAAGGCCCTCTTAAGGTATACCTTAAGGGCTTCGGTTCCTCGTTCACCCCCCTCCCCCTCCGTCCCCCCTTCGGCAAAGGCTTGAGGTACCTCGAAGTCTTCGGCGAAGACCCCTTAAGGTACCTTCGAAGGCTTCGAAGCCGCCTTAAGGTACGTTCGTCGAAGGCATGATCTAACTCTTTATTTAAACTTCCACCCCCTTCTTGCCTTCCACAGTGCCATGATCTAAATTCTAACTCTTTATTTAAATTTTCCCCCCCTTGCCTTCCACAATGCCATGATCTAAAATCGAAGTCTTTATTTAAACTTCCCCCCTTGCCTTCCACAATGCCATGATCTAAATTCCAACTCTTTATTTACACTTCCCTCCGCTTGCCTTCCACAATGCCATGGTCTAAAATCCAACTCTTGTTTTTAAAACTTGAGTCTAAAATCTGACTTTTTATGAACTTCCCCCTCCCTTGCCTTCCACAATGCCATGATCTAAAATCTACTGTTTATTTATAGTTCCACTCTTGCCTTCCACAATGGCATGATCTAAAATCGAACTCTTCAAAATTTCCCCCCTGCCTTCCACCATGCCATGGTCTAAAATCTAACTTAAACTTCCCCCCGCTTGCCTTCCACAATGCCATGATCTAAATTCCAACTCTTTGTTTAAATTTCATCCCCCTGCCTTCCACAATGCCATGATCTAAAATCTAACTCTTTATTTAAACTTCCCTCCTTGCCTTCCACAATGCCATGATCTAAATTCTAACTCTTTATTTCAACTTCCCCCCCTTGCCTTCCACAATGCCATGATCTAAATTCCAACTCTTTATTTGAACTTCCCCCCCTGCCTTCCACAATGCCATGATGCAAAATCTAACTCTTTATTTAAACTTCCTCCCGCTCGCCTTCCACAATGCCATGATCTAAATTCCAACTCTTTATTTACACTTCCCCCCCTTGCCTTCCACAATGCCATGGTCTAAAATCTAACTCTTTATTTTAAAACTTTGATCTAAAATCTGACTTTTTATGAACTTCCCCCTCCCTTGCCTTCCACAATGCCATGATCTAAAATCTAACTCTTTATTTATAGTTCCACTCTTGCCTTCCACAATGGCATGATCTAAAATCGAACTCTTCAGTTCCCCCCTTGCCTTCCACAATGCCTGATCTAAATGCCAACTCTTTATTTAAATTTCCCCCTTGCCTTCCACCATGCCATGGTCTAAAATCTAACTTAAACTTCCGCCCGCTTGCCTTCCACAATGCCATGATCTAAATTCCAACTCTTTGTTGCAATTTCATCCCCCTGCCTTCCACAATGCCATGATCTAAAATCTAACTCTTTATTTAAACTTCCCCCTCCTTGCCTTCCACAATGCCATGATCTAAATTCTAACTTTTATTTAAACTTCCCCCCTTGCCTTCCACAATACCATGATCTGAAATCTAATTCTCTTGCCTTCCACACGACTGCCCCCAGGCAGTCGGTGAGAGGCCCTTCAGGAAGGTACCTTAAGGGGGGAGCTTGAGAAATTGAATTTGAAGGTCCGTTGAGGAAGGCTTCGAAGCCCCCTTAAGGTGCCTTCGAAGCCTTCGAAGCTCCCTTAAGGTACCTTCAAAGGCTTCAGCCAAGGCTTCAACGCTCGAAGCCACCTTAAGGTACCTTGAGGAGGCTTGGAGGCTTTGAAGGTCCCTTAAGGGGGCTTCGAAGAATTCGTCCAAGCCCGCTTAAGATACCTTCGAAGTCTTCGGCGAAGACCCCTTAAGGTACCTTCGTCGAAGCCCCCTTAAGGTACCTTCGAAGGCTTCGAAGCCCCCTTAAGATACCTTCGAAGCCTTCGAAGCCCCCTTAAGGTACCTTAAGAGGGCTTCGGTTCCTCGTTCACCCCCCCTCCCCCTGTGATTTATTTTTGTTTACGTGTCTACACAATGCTGTCATGCATGTTGACATGTATACATAATTCATCTCTTTCATGCGCACTCCGCATGGCTCAAGACTAGCAGCAATTCCGCGTGTAAAAAGGAGTGTAGTCGCTTAGCTTGCCACACGTGTTGTACATTAGTATCCAGGGCTCCCTCAAAGGGGAAAGCTACCTCAAAGTGGTAGCGGAGCCTGTGCCTTCGCCAAGTCTAGATCCGTGTGCCGAACTGCCGTTCTCTGCATACATTCCGTATATCGGACTTGCGGAGGCAACCTGTAGGTCAAGTTAGAGTAGCTGCCATGGTCTTAATCCACAACATGGATTCAGATGAAGAACAACTCCAGATTGTCTCTTATGAAGAGCCTGAAGCATATGCCGCCACCAGTCATTCCGAAAACCGGATGGGCATCAAAATGACACCGAAGGTTCCACCCCAATTTGATGGCCAATCAAGCTGGTTTGAATATGAAGATTTAATTGATGACTGGTTAGGGATCACAACATTGGATGCAGATAAACACGGACCATCATTAAAGAATGCCCTCATTGGTTCCGCTTCTTTTTATAAGTCGATGCTCGATAATGCCTTACTCCGAGATCCGGATCGTGGCCTCGCTCATTTCAAGGACACATTGAGACCATACTTCGTGAAGGGAGTAAATCATGTGTTCCTTTGGCGATTCCTCCAGATGTTTCGCACATATCGAGGCCAGAGTGAATTCGTGCACTGGATAGGGCGATTTGAGATCGCGCAGAAGCGTTTGTTGGCTTCTTGGTCCGATCTGCTGGACATATCCGATCTTCCCGAAGCAGGCACTCAGGCATTTACGGCAGCACTCACAGATGAGCAAAGACTGCACTATAATGGAATAGTAACAGATGAAGATAAGCTAGCTTATCAACAAGAACTGAGAGAACAGACCATAACCAATAGAAGGACCAGACATGCACAACAGTTTCCATTGTCAGACAATTTGATGTCACTGATTTTCCTAGTCCAAGCAGACCTCAACGAGCAACAACGCGAGCGTTTTGTCTCGTCCATGAACATCCGTCAGATTGCAATGCCTCAATATACCTATCTCCAAGTGAAACAGCTGTTCTTAGAACTTTTTGCCGTTTCTCGCACAGGTGTTGCCGACCCAAACATCACGCACCGCAAGCGGTCCAACTTTTACGTCATCGACGAGGGCGAGACCGAAGAAGGTGAGTACGGATTTTGGGTCCTCGATGAAGAGACGGGTGAAGAAGGTTTCACAGGTCTGTACACGGAGAACGAGTTCTGGGTTCTCAGCGCCAAGGGTTCATACTCTAAGCGCCGCATCTACGGCAGGTCC